GGAGCCGGGGGGAGCGGGAGGCGCTGACGGCAGGGCCCGGCGGGGGCGACGGCCCCGGGGGAGGGAGCACCCCGCTGCTGATCGCCGCCCGGCACGGGCACCTGGAGGTGGTGGAGTACCTGCTGGATCACTGCGGCGCCCGCGTGGAGGAGGGAGGCTCAGTCAACTTCGATGGGGAGACCATCGAGGGGGCCCCGCCGCTCTGGGCGGCCTCTGCTGCCGGGCACCTGGGGGTGGTGCGCAGCCTCCTGGATCACGGCGCGTCAGTGAACCAGACCACGCTGACCAACTCCACGCCACTGCGGGCTGCTTGCTTTGATGGGCACCTGGAGATCGTGCGCTACTTAGTCGGGGAGCGCGGGGCTGACCTGGAAGTAGCCAACCGGCACGGACACACTTGTCTGATGATTTCTTGCTACAAAGGGCACCGGGAAATCGCACGTTACTTGCTAGAGAAAGGGGCTGATGTCAACCGCCGGAGCGTGAAGGGGAATACGGCCCTGCATGACTGCGCTGAGTCCGGCAGCCTGGAGATCCTGCAGCTATTGCTGCGCTCCAAAGCCCGCATGGAGAAAGATGGCTATGGCATGACTCCTCTGCTAGCTGCCAGTGTCACCGGTCACACCAACATTGTGGAGTACCTCATCCAAGGAGGGCTGCAGCAGGAGGAGGAGGAGGTTGCAGGGAACCAAAATGGGACCTGTGCATCAGGTGGGAGCCATCAGAGGTGCTGCAGCGCTGACAAGGAAACTCCTCAGGGCTGCGATGAAGAGGGGTGTGAGAAATGTTGTGCCTCAGCTTCCAGTCAGGATGAGCAGCAGGTCCCTAACGTGTTCTGCACTCGAGAGGCTGCTGTGGAAGCACTGGAGTTGCTGGGTGCTACCTTTGTGGATAAGAAACGTGACCTTTTGGGAGCCCACAAGTACTGGCGAAGGGCGATGGAGCTTCGGTGTGAGGGCGGGCAGTACCTGCCTAAACCTGAGCCCCGGCAGCTGGTGTTGGCCTACGACTATTCCCGGGAAGTGAGTTCGCTGGAGGAACTGGAAGCCTTGATTACTGATCCAGATGAGATGCGCATGCAGGCACTGCTGATTAGAGAGCGCATCTTGGGTCCTTCCCACCCAGACACTTCCTATTACATCCGTTACCGAGGGGCAGTCTATGCTGACTCCGGCAACTTCGAACGCTGCATTAACCTATGGAAGTATGCTCTGGACATGCAGCAAGGCAACCTGGAGCCTCTCAGCCCGATGACTGCCAGCAGTTTCCTTTCCTTTGCTGAGCTTTTCTCTTACGTGCTTCAGGACCGCTCCAAAGGCACTTTAGCTACCCACTTGGGCTTCTCTGACCTCATGGGAGTACTGAGCAAAGGAGTCCGGGAGGTGGAGAGGGCGCTCGTGCATGGCAAGGACCCTGTAGTTGATTCAGCGCAGTTCACCAAGACGCTGGCCATTATCCTCCACCTGGTCTTCTTGCTGGAGAAGGTGGAGTGCACCCCGGAGCAGGAACACCAGAAGCGCCAGACCATCTACCGCCTGCTAAAGTGCAGCCCCCGGGCCAAGAATGGCTTCACTCCTTTGCATATGGCTGTGGACAAAGACACCACAACAGTGGGACGTTATCCCGTGGGCAAGTTCCCATCGCTCCACGTTGTGAACTTGCTTCTGGAGTGTGGGGCTGACCCAGACAGCCGTGACTATGACAACAACACCCCGCTGCATGTTGCTGCCCGCAACAACTGCCCACTGATCATGAGTGCCCTGATGGAGGCTGGAGCCCATATGGACGCCACCAATGCCTTCAAGCAGACTGCTTATGAGCTGCTGGATGAGAAGCTGCTCACCAAGAGCATGATGCAGCCCTTCAATTACATCACCCTCCAGTGCCTTGCTGCTCGCGCCCTGGACAAGCACAAGATTCCCTACAAGGGTTTCATCCCTGAGGAGCTGGAAGCCTTCATTGAACTGCACTAGGGCGGGAGAGCTGAAGTCCCCAGCCTTTCCTGTCACCTGTTTCACCCCGCAGAGGTAGTGCAGCCTAAGATCTCAGGCCATCCTTGCCTAGGTGCCGAAGGCCGTCGCTGTGCTGAGATGGGCTGCGAGCTTTGTCCTCATCTGTCACCATCAAGCTGGCGTGCGCAGGGGTAGGGGAGGAGGAGGCGGCTCGAGAGCTCATGGCTGTCCCTCATTGTTGTCATCTTCAGGTACCAGATATCTCCAGTGCACTGTATCCAGAGAAGGCCGCAGCCCCTGCCCTTTCCCATGCCAACCGTCTTGTCCTGAGAAGGAAGGAAAACGGAGATCCCTGGGACCTGCTGTCTCTCCCATTAGTGCTGGATTAACTCAGCGTTAAGCTTTGGAGCAGCTACACATCACACATGTGCTCTAGCCCTTCCCATCCTAAATACCGAACAGATAGGAATGCAAGTGAGGAATAAAATATCTTCCAACTAATTCTTTCCCCACCCCGTTCTCAGATTTGGTACAGTATGAGTCTAACAGCCGAGTGGCTTGTGCTCTGCTGAGGTAGTTGACTTGCATGGCAGTAGGGCTGGGTATGCTGAGGACGTTTTTTTTTCCTCCCTTGGTTGGCCAAGTAGCAAGTGGTGTTAAAGGCCTGAGATTTCAATGATTGTGCATAAAGCTGGGTTATTTTTTCTCTTTTAGAGCCAGGCCCTATCTATGCTGCAAGACATCTTCAATCCTGTAAGATATAGTAAGGTCAGTTCTGGTTATATAGTTTCATCAATAGATGTTGGTTTTGATGAATGGGGAGGAAAAACTGCTACCTTAAAAAGAAAATACTAATGTGGTGTTCAGGCCCTTAGCTTGCCCGTTCTGCACACGTTCACTCCCTTCCCCGCGTGGAGGTCCTTTAGCTCCAGAGGTCAGCAGGGATTGAGCTGTACAGGGTGGTTATGGCCAGGTTTCAGAGCCAAACCAGCACACCTTGAACCATCTTTGAGGATGTGCTCTTGGAAGCCCTCTAGGATGGGAGGTACTTGTAGCGTGGGTGGTGCTCGGGGGGTTATTAAAGCAAGTGAGTGTTGGTGACATGTTTGTATGAGGGTGGTCTGAAGGAGGAAGCAAGAAAGAAATGACAGTTTAAGGTGCCTTCTTATTCTGAGGTTTATTAGTATCAACCAATTGGGTTCTCTTAATTATCCCGTTCTGAAACCTACACGGAGTGGGTTAGCATCTGGTTTTGGCTTTTGATTCTTTTTGCAACTTTACTGAGGATGGTGCTACTTCAGAGATTGAATTTGGAATCTCATTTGGCTACTATTTGGGCAAGCTCCTTTCTTTAATTAGGATGCGCACACAACTAGTTTTTCTCTTTAAATCCGTAGTCTCAGGGTAGGTATTTGCCTCCATTAGCAGAACCCTCCTTGGTGGTAAACAGTCAGTGTTGGTAAACATGATGCTGTTCTTCCAGCAGTTTATCTTCTTGCAGGGGGAGTGGCTGGGCTTTGGCAGCCTGTGGCTCATTTCTTGGCCCCGGGCAGAGTGGAAAGCACAGTTGGGGGTGAAGCAGCTGCCTCTGAGATTTGGGAAAGGTCAAGACTGGGAGAGTAGAACCCTGATAAACAACCATGCACTATATGCTACTGAAGCTTCTCTACTTGTATTTATAAACCAGCATATCCATATGCCTCAATAATCCAATGCTCTCTGCCTCTTAAGGATGTTGTAGATCTGCCATTACATTTTTGCAGTGTTAACTATAACATTTATTTATAAAGCAAGGAGGTTTAACTTTTATTGAGATGTAAAGTGCAGAGTTAGTTTAGCTACATTCTATTTTTTTTTTTTTTTTCCTTTTGGCTGAAACCTGAACTGAACTGCAGGAATGGAATTTGTTAATTTGTGAGCTGATGAGCGCTCTTAACTTTAAATAATAAAACAAAAAATAGCTGCTAGAATGCAAGTGCCTTGGACTTCTTGCTGGTAAGCCTCTATTTTCAGCTTGTTTCCTAGGGATGGTACACTTGTGGGTATGGAAACACTGGACATTTGCAATCAACAGATGTGATTGTTTCATTTCATCTGAATTTATTCCTGGGAAAAGCTAATCTGTACTCCAATTGCAAACATTTCCCCCGAAAAAGGGTAGCACTGACACTGAAGTGACACCTCTATATACATTGCCTTATCTTTTGATGTAATGCAGCAGTGTGAAAGGGTGCTGCTCTGTTGACTCAGGTATTACCTGCCTTATATATGGTTGGGACTGTGGGCACAGCAAGCAGAAAGAGGCATGCAGTGTGGCTATCATCAATTTATGTTTTTCAACCCCAGAGGAGGTCAAAAGCAGACAGAGGAATTAAAGGGACTGGAGTTAGTTCCACACAGGAATTGGGATTTCCAGAAATGCTCAGCCTTCCCCACAGAGGATGGGAGCAGATGGATAAAATATTTGAATGTTTGTCCCTTCATTGATTGCTCCATCCTGAAAAGTAATTCTTGATGGTTTGATCAATGTTGCTGCCTTCTGTTTCCTTTGAAAATGCTGGACATGACATTTAAGCAGTGTCTGCAGCTCTGTGGGATGTGCTTCTCCCATCAAGATACTACTGCTGTGCTATAGGTGATCTTCAGGTACGTAGGTGAGCAGCTGCCACCGCAGGTACAAGGAACCGGGTAGCCTCAGGACTGAGGCAGCAGCTGATCGGTCCTGACTGTGGTGCTCTCTGACTGCAGTCCCGTCCCGTGCGCAGAGCTGCTGGGAGGAGAGCGATGAGAAGGGAGTTCTTCCACAGCTGGGATGGGGAAGCAACTCTGGAGCAGCTATGTTGTGATCAGGTAGCTGGGGGATCCAGTCACGTACAAAAGCCTCAAGGAGGAGAACACTTTGTGTGATAGAAAAGGGCTTTAAATTTTTTCTTTTTTAACACATAAGTAATCTGTAATTGTATAGTAAGGACCCAGCAATTAAATGTTGATAGTAATTATTGGGTGGGATAAATCACTGCATGAATTTAGGGGTAATTAGAATGAACAGTCCTTATTTATTGTAGGTGTGGTCTGGGCCAGCTCCAGTATGTGGGGCAAAACAAGGAGTTGTGGGGAGCAGTGAAACGTTTCAGTGATGATTTTGTTATCTGAGTAATTATCTTGGACAGGGAGTGGAGTTTTTTTTTCACTGGGGTGGCTACAGGCCTTCCTGTAGCACACTGCTCTGCAGGAGCCCTTCTGTACGCTGCCACGAACAAAATGTCTGCCTTTTATTCTTTTCTTAAAACCTAAGATGTGCTTTTCTCTCTCTAATACTGGTAATTGTCCCTCTTGACAATAAAGCCTCCCATACAGGTTTCTTTAGATAGTGCAAAAGTGGTGAGAAATTCACTGGGGTTTTCCTGGTGCCGTTCTATGGACCTCTTTGGATCCTCCTAATGCCGTAAGATGAGTGTTTACGAAGAAAGCGGCCTAGAGCATAAAGATAGGGATACTGTGTCAGCATTTCCCAGGTTCCCAGAGAAACTGGGGAAGAACGAGGGGGTCACAGGCACACATGCATTCTCCTGGTGAAAACAAGGCCCTGGTGGCAAAGCTTCCTTTCCAGGTGAGCAACAGCAAAGAGGGCCCTGAAAATGTGGGAAGAGTGAACCTGTTGCTGCGGTTAAAACAGGGCTGTGGCTCTTTAGTGGAAGTTGCTCCCAATAACCTTTGAGCCTCTTGGCCCTCCATGCGCTGTAAGCTTAAAAAAAAAAACCCAACCCTGCAATGTTTTACAGTCTGCTGCCATGTCTTTCCCTCTCCCTTTCTCCGGTCCAAGCAAACTTGATGTGACCATGTTAAGGTTGTTTACAAGCTAGAACAGCCTCCGGTTGACTAGTTTTGCATGACGTTTATTTATAGAAGGCAGAAGAGCTGGGGAAGGAGTGATGTATGTGTTTTCTCCCAAGGGGAGGGGCTGTCCTGGTGGCTGCACAGCAACAACTGCAGTGTGACAGGAATTGCGGTAACACAATACCTATTCGAACAAAGGTGACGTAGGGGAGAGAAAATAAGGAAATAGAAGGAATCCAAGCACTTGGAGGATTCCAGCAGACTCTATAAAGAGTAAATGAGTTAATACATTGTCGCTGGGTCCTTCGAGGTTAAAAGCCAAACTGTTTCAAGCTGGAAGCCAACAACTGATGGCAGCTTTTAAATAGCAATGCTTTTATGTGGTTCTCGTTCTGCTCAGGACAGAGAGGGCTTTGATTTGTCTGAGCCTGGTGTCTTGTGCTAGTTGTCAGCCAAGGAGGTCCAGGAGGAGTTAAGCCTCCTTGAGGTAGGGGGGAGGGAGGCAGAGAGACCTTCTATGGACAGATCTGTGAGAAAGGACCTGTGGCCTCTTAAAAGGAAATTCTGTGGCATTTAAATCCAAAACTGTGACAGCCACTGTTCTGTTGCAGTTTAAGAGTAGGGACACATCAGCTCTCGGCTCCTACATCTGGTGGTGCCCAGGAGCTCCAGAGCTTGCACTGAGGTTCGGTCAGTGCCCACGCTCTCCCGCATCATCCTGCAGACATCTTCGGCCCCTCCTGAGGGGCGTACGCTGCTTGAAAATAAGAAGGCAGCAGTTGCAGCTTTCAACACAGGGCAGGTGGAGGGAACTGTCCTCCTTTATACTGTTACCTGCTATCCTCTGGGGAGCCAGGACTGAGGAGAGACTCCCATACTGTTCTCTCCTCCGTGGTGGGGATTCATGTCTCAGTAGTGAGCTTTATTTAGTAGGCTGGTACTTGTTTGGGAGGGCGTGCTTGGTGCAGAACGAGCTTGAGGTAGATTGAGCCAGAAAGGAAGAGTGAGAATTGGGACAGTCTTTAGCCTGGTGACCAGAGTACTCCCTGAGAGGGGATTAATGTCAGCTGAACAGTCTTTTCTCCAAGGACATACTAATGTCTTCCTTATGCAGGTGTTGGTTGTAAGGCTTGGATGGTTCTTGGACAAAGACTACAATCCAGAATTAGGCCCTGTGAGTGCCCAGCTTGGGTAGTCCCAGGTCCAGGATGGCCTGTAGGAGTCCTGCGCTTTGGCTGCCAGACCGTGCTGGCTCCGCTCGATTTGAAATGTACTGGGACAGCTATTCAGAGCGACACAAGCGCATGCACATCTGCAGAAATACCTGGAACGGGGTCACCTCCCCTGTATCAATCACACTGGCCCTCGAGGTCCACCTTAACGGGACTTGGCAGCTCTTGGGCTCCTTCCTAGGGTGAGGAGTAGGGCGAGAGCTGCCCTGCAGCTTGCAGAGGCCCCGGTGCAGGGTGACTTGACTCTAGAGGTCAATGCTGTTGGCTGGGTTCTGGTCCGAAGAGGGAGCAGTCTCATTTCTAGTCTGGTGGCTTTGGGCTGACCTCTACTGACAGAGCAGGCAAATGGCCGCGGCAGGAGGCATTGGAGGGAGAGCATGGGGTCTGGGGCTTGGCTTTGGGCACCCTGCTCGTGTTAAAAGCTCAGTACAGATCTGCCTGGTATAGCCCTCACCCAGGTCCTGCAGAACACCTCCCCCATTCCTGGCCTTTCTCCACCCCTTCTGTAATGCTCTGCTCAGTGCTTTTTTTCCGTCAAACTTTTTCCTCAAGGGCAATAACATAAATAAGTGGAGTAATCTCCGTAGGGAACATTACTCTGTGCAACAGCCAATCTAACGGGGCCCTGGTCCCACTTCTGACCTTTTACAACAGGTAAGAATGGAGGAGTGAACACTCAGCTTCTGCATCCTCAGACTTTCTCTGCCCTTCCCCCCTCTCATTAAGTAATTTTTTTTCCCAAACACAGCTTTACTGTAAAGATTCTTATTTAGCCGCCTATCTGGTGCATAGTCTCAGTTCTTTAACAGAGTTTTCTTAAATACAAAAATACTTTCCTTCAAGCCATGCCTCCAGGGGCACATGGGAATTTTGTCTTTCACAAACAAAAAACTTCTCTCTCTGTAGTTTCAGAAGGGAACTGGGAAAAGTGATCTCTTGATGCCTGCAGCCTCTCAGAAGGCTGTGAAGCTCGTTTCCTGAACCTTCCTGGGTCTGGTGCGAGAGGCTTGGGGGAAATGGCGCTGCTGCTGTGCTGGAGCAAGGGGAGTGCGCCATGCATGCAAAGTAGGCGTTGGTGTGAAAGGCCGAGAGGATACTGTGTGACAGCGAGCAAAGAGGACTGCTGGAAGAAAACGGTGGGACCTTGTGGTGCTTAGCACCTTGACAGGGGGCCACAGCGACTCCCTAAAGCATCCCCTGAAGGTTTTCCCTCAAATGATTTGGTCAGCAGCAGATTATGAAACAGAAGCCCAGTGTGCCATCTCCCAGGCCCCTCCACCCCAGAGGAACAGACATGCAGAACAGTTTTCCCAATATCCCTGACTGCCCCTTTGCTAATTCTACAGGAAAGAACCAGAGAAACACAAATAAATTAATTAAAATTTATTTATAAAATCTTTCAGTAGCCTCAGAAAATCAGGAAAAGAGTTTTCTCAGTTACTTGAAAATAAGCACAAGGAAAACAGTCTCAGGAGATTGCAACCTCTTTTGTCCAACAAAAGAGAAGGTAATTTTCTCCTGTGCTCCAAGAAAGTGGCACCTTTTACCCACAGTGAAATAAGAATAGTCCCAGTCCCAACAGAATCACTATGATCTAGGGTTTGAAATTAAGTGTGAGTGTCCCTGGCTTTGGCTGACCTGCTGTGTCTCTGATCAACCATTCTACCTGGTTTCTTCCTCGCTGTCCTGTGGACCTGGTGTGACAGTTTCTACCTGCATCATGTTGTGGTTCCCAATCTGAACCATTCGAGCATGTTGAATGATGAGGGGCGGGGTGCCTCCTGGACCTGGCATCATGTTGTAGTGGCCTGATGGGAGATGAAGCGGTTGGAAGGGATGGGGACCCATATGAGGAGGCATGGGGTGACCAGCGGGGGGAGGTGGGTATGTGGCAGGAGGAACAGTCGAAGCGGGGGGGCACCGCTGTTGGGGTGATTGCTTCAGCGGCTGCGGCCGTGTTGCTGATGGAGGCACCTGGGCAAGGGAGCCAAGGGTCAGAGCATCCAAGTTCTGCAGTGTTTGATACTGTTCCTGATACAGCTGTAGTTTCGCTCTCTGCATCTGGTCCCACATGGCTTTCCTCTTACTGATCCTGCTGGTGGTAAAGGTGTTCTGCACCATCCTGGAGAACCCAGGAGACTTCTCATTCAAGGGCATCAGCGCACCGAGCGTGCTGGGAATCTGACTCTGCTCCAGGGGGTTCTCCTTGGGCACAAAAGGGATGACTGAGTCACGCTTGGATTGTTTCAGGATGGACTCCATCAGGGCAGTGTTTGTCTGAAACATACACAGGTCACATGGGAAGTTCTTGGTCAGCAGAAGGATGATGAAAGCAGAGTTTTCCATAGCATCCTGGAAGCAAGTCAGATGGCTGCGTCCAGCAATTAAGAAGTCCTCACAGAGTGTGGCACCGTTGGGAACCCCCATGTTCTCCAGCAGGTCCTTGACCCGATGGGCAACAATCTCATCTTCACTAGCGTGCAGGACAACAAAAGTGAAGAACTTTCTCTCTCCACCATCTGGCTCTGATGTGTGCACTGCTTCTACAGCTTGGAGAGGAGGAGGCCAGGATGGAGAGGGGGATGAGTGGAGGGGAGGGGGATATGATAAGTTGGAAGGAGCTCCCCGAAGATGAGGGGGAAGGGTTGGGGAGAAGGAATAGGTAGGAGAAGGAAGGGGACATGCTGAAATGGAAGCAGATGCAGGGTTAGAAGAAACGCCTGCTGGAACATAGGAGTCCTCCATGGATGGGTGGGCAGGACCAGTATCCACTGTAGCTCGTGAGTCAGGAAGACCTGTAGATAATTGCTTTTCATCTTGCTTTTTGTCTGTGCTTTCTTCTGGTGCATGAGGTTCTCCTGCCACTGTGCTGGAAACATCACCACTTTTGACAGGTTGGTTCACAGCATCCAGTGTGGGCAGCTGCGTTTCAGGAATAGGGAGAGTCGGACAACATGAACTGACCTGCAGAACCTTCTCCGGTTGGGGGGCTTGGGCACCTGTGTCCTGCCCAGGATGAGAGTTGGGTCTGCTGGCCCAGCTTGTTTCCTCCAGGCTGTGGCTCCGTCTGTCCCCGTCAGGCTGTCCAGCACTGCCGGTGCTCCCTTCGCACAGCCGGCTGGGCTGGGGGACACGCTTGTGGGAAGAAGGCTGGGTGTGAAAGACAACTGTTGGCGACGCACTGATCTCTAAGTGACTTGTGAGAGAGGGACTCCCCAAGGAACACAAGGTCCGTGGGCCTGAAAGTTCTGAGTTGCCTCCAATCTGCACTGGGGAACTTCTCACCACGTAGTCTGGGCTGGCCATCTGGTGAAATCCTATGCCCCCATCAGATCTCAGCGTCTGAAATTTGTCACCTGGGCCCATGCTGATGGCAGAGCCATGTTTTTCCTGGTCCTCAGCTGGGATGCTGTTGAGCGTGTCCCCCTGAGTTTCCTTGCTGGCGTTGCAGGTTTTGGTGGCGGCCTGGCAGGCTTTGTCCATGGCTTCATGACTGCACAGTTTTTCCTCCGCCAACACTGAGTAGATCTGTGCCAGAAGCGCCATGGCACCTGCATCCAGCTGGGCAGGCTGCAAATCCTCCCCATCTTCCTGCAGTCCTACAGCGCCCAGTTTGGTCTGGTGGACATACTGGGCTGCCCGGTTATCTCTCAAGTCATCCAAACAAATTCTTGCATCTGCTTCTTGCCCCAGGGTAAGCAGGACCATGGCTTGCAGTAATTTGCTGCTGGGGCCAAGTATCAAGTGCTTCAGTTTATATTTGAGGCTAAGGAGTTTATCTTGTGGGATCTGGGATAGAATATTAAAAACGTCCTCAAAGCTTGGCTGGAGCTCGGCGCTCTGTGCCATCTCATCAGCTGGTGGCCCAGGCGATGGACTGAAGCAGCATGGATGGAAAAAGCGTATTATGGCACTTGGAGCGAAGGTTTGTTCCCCTGCGGTGCTCTGTGATGCCCTGCTCGCACTTTAGGTACCGCACAACCGATGGCTCTTTGCTGCTCAGGGGCTCATCTCAGAACCGGCATGTCTCTGTCCTGAGGAACCTGTGAGAAGAACAGGGGACAACGTTCAGAAATAGTCATGTGGGGAGCTGGGGGGGGGTCCTCGCAAGGCTTGCAGAGCTCCCAGGCTTTCCCTCACAGCTCTCAAGTATTTTTGCATCTCTTCAGTGCTTGCAGGTCTGCCAGTACTCCATGCATTATTCCAACTCTGTTATTAAGCAAAGAGCAAGTTCTTTGCATTCATTTCACGTTAATTACAACTGTTTTAAAATAATTGCTGAACTAATAATGTATTTATGTAAATCCAAGTGTCTGTCTCCTCCAGGCAGCTGGTTCCAGCAGCCTCGCAGGCTCCTTGCAACGGGCAGTCGAGGAATAAAGCGAGCTTAGAGGAAGCCCTTTCAAATTGCTCATGCCAGGAGGGTTGATAACCCATACACAGCCAGTGTCAGGCTGCCTAATGTAATTGTGGACATAATCTCCATCCACATCTAATCCCTGCTAAACCCTTGCACTCACCAAAGGCCTCTGACCGGGGTTAAATTAAACCGCAGAACTTGTCCGGAGTGGAGGTGCGGGTGCCCGGGGCGTCCACGGGTAGCCAGGAGGTACACTGCTCACAGGCACTGACGGAGCTTGGTGGAAAAGCGTTCCCTATTTAAAGGGAGCACCAGCGAATCCCCCCAAAAACCTCTCAACTGGGGAAAGTTTATAATTTCAAATTGTTTTTTTCTATCTCATAAAAATCCTCTAATTGCCTAATGAACGAGCTCGAGCTGAACTTGAGGAAGTTGCTGGCACTTTCCATTAAAACCTCTGACTCAGTGAAACGGCGGCAGGAGGGAAGGGAAGGCGAGGCGAAGAGAGGGCAGGCGCTCGAAACGGCAGCCGAAACCTTTGCAGCTTGCTGCTGCCC